AAAAAAAAAAAACGAGAGAAAAAATACTGTCAAAATCTATCGAATGAAACGAGATTATCGAAGTATCTATTTTTTTATATCTGGAAGAATTTTCGTATTATTTGTACACGATGAAACTTACACGTTGGTTTCGATGGAAACGCGATTCGTACAGGTGATGTAAAGTGATCAATAGCATACTATGGTTAATAGTAATCATGCATTTGTTTTGTGTACACAACGTCATTGTGATTTTTCAATAAATAATCCTATTGAAAAATAAATTACGTTTCCTGTTTTTATATACATTTAATAATGCTAAATTAGTAATAATAAGAACTAGCATTATTTAATAATTGATTATTATTAAGTATTAATTTATTATTTTGTTTACTTATGTATGCCCTTTGTTTTTTTATGCTTTGTCATTTATTTTTCTTATTTGTATACGATTTTAACTTTTCATGAATATTTGTGTTATTAAAACTTATCCCCATAAATTTCCTATCTAACTATACAAGGTAATCTAATGTACGCCTATATGTGTATAGGCTGAAGATTCTAATGAGCTTATAATGTCCTATGGTGATACCTATCTGAAAAGGGAACTAAATTTCTAACAATAATTATATAAACTACATTATGAAATGAAACTCACAATGCATCAAGTATACACAATTTAAAAAATGCGCGATTGAACTATATACACAAATAAGCTGAAATAAAAATGAAATATCAATTAGAGTCCAATGTATATATAAAATTACATCTATCTGCATTTTGATTTATGACGAGTTTCTTGAAAGGGTTCAAGGGGTTTCTTTAGGAATATTTATTTTAGGATTTTGTTTTTCCTTTTCAGAATTCGGAGCAGAGTTAAATGTTTTCTTTATATAATGAACCTAAATGTTATAATTAATTGTTCAGTATTAAATATGTATTAAATATTTCATTGATAACACAGAATAGTAACACTTCCTTATCTTATAGTACGAAATCTCTCAAACGTTTAACCAAATAGTACTAGGTTGCTCCGTTAGGTGACGCCACCAAATATAACTAGGTATTTATGTGTATATTTAAATATCTCTTACCATTATGCCTTTCTTTTACTTTCTAGGATCAAAATAAACATGTATTAAATTGTTTAATAGAAATCCGCTTTTACATTATAAAATATCTTAAATGAAACCGGTCCTTTGTAATAACCATACAGAGTTTCTAAATTGTATGATGGTAAAGAAAACACCAACATTAGTATTAATAACATTATTTATATTTATATATATATATTTTTTGTTTTTAACATTACATCTTAAGTCTGTATATACAAGTCAGTTCTACCTTCCCGCATTTCTCAGGAATTTCTTCTTTTATTTTCTATATAATTATTATTGCGTTAGCTATTTTCCATCTGAATAGTTTTAGTAATACAATTAATAATTTACAAGATTGTACACACATACACAGGTGAGACACCGTTCACGTTACGGTCCTCTATCATACGTTACATGTACATCGTATAATGTAGAAATTTAATAAATAATTAGATATTCCCGTTCTCGAGTCCATTTCCTTACTAAAAAGAAAAAAAAAGTACAAATCGGTTACCGATGTAGGCAACAAATGAGATCTGTCAATATTTAATTCTTCATGATGTTAAAATATTCGGGCCGACTGTACGCCCACACGTTAAAAAACGAACTTCATTGATTGCAGTTTCGGATATTCTATCAGTAAGGTTTGCGAAAATATTAGACTTTATGTTTGTCATCTTATTTTTGTCCATTCTGTTTTATATTAATTATGTTGTATCTTTGCTCACCGTTATTGCTTTCGTGGTATCGATGAACTATCGTAAATAAATATTATAAAGTCAGGGGAAAGAACTTGAAGTTCTGTTGCAACACGTTCATGGTACGCTCTCTTGTACAGGGTGTTTTGCAATTTATAGGAAAGGTATTCATAGAAATGTATTCTTTACTTGACTCTGTTTGCATATTTAGATATGAAATGAAATGATTTATATGAAAGATGATTGGTTATCTTTAACAGCAGTATATATAGCATTTTAATAACTTTTTAAAAGTTTCTGAATTCAAATCGATGGTGTCCAACAGTTACACATTACAGAGTTAAATAGATTCTACATTCACAATTTACAACATATCATGTCACACCCTGTGGATTAACATTATAATAAAAATTTGAACTACTCCGATATCATTCAGTAAAAATTGCACCTCTTCTTCATTTCGTTTTCAAAACGTCTGAAACTTAATTATCATTTGTACAAGCTTCTTATCGAATGGGGGTTAAAAATAACATTCTCTTTTCCATTTCTCTGCTCGGAGAGTTTCGATCAACGAACTTTTCGTTTCAAAAGCAGACGAAGAGGATCTTCTATCCACTCTTCGCAAGTAGGAAGATATTTTGGTGAACATTGACTTTCTGTTCTCGAGAAACGTTTGTTCTACTGTGCGTATTAGGACGATACGATCGTCGAGTTCACTTACACGTATTTATCGACGCATTTATCGACGAACGGGAGGCTTAAGTAAATATTACAGGTTAAAGAGGAAAGAGAACAATAAAATAAAAAAGAAAATGTCTCCTGACTAGAAACTTGCATGGTCGAGCTGCAGGAGCTGGAAGGAGTATTCAGTGGCAGTAAAATGGTCGCAGAATCGCTCCAGAACCTTTCTAATTCACTCTACCAGTTTCTGTAACGTCCTGGAGATAGAGATATCCGCGATCGTTAGTGAAAATTATTTCGTACACGCGGCAGAACTGTGTTACAGCTCCGTGTGACCCAACGAATGCGTGTTCCCGCTCCTTCGACGGGTTAGCAGTCAAAGGCACTTCGTGGCGCTTCGTTCGATTCATCAATTATCGTTCGACACTTTTCGTATCCCGAGGATTCCCACTGATCCATCCTCGATTCATGCTTCAGTGATCGTCCCCGTGGAAATGACCGTTCCTGTTCAAAGGTTGCCTCTCTGGCGCATCTGATGGCCTGTTCCTCTTGAAGAATCCGCACTAATAACAAACATTAATGGTACCGTTAAATATTTTTTCTATTTAAAAACTTAATCATTCGTTAATCAGTCGTAAATTTTTCAAGCCTACCGCATCGAAGCTGTTATTACGTTTAATTTACATGAAAGAACCGTAACGTTTCTATCAGATCTCCTTTCTCGTACATAATATCGATACATAATTCACGTATACAAACCTTGTGCAGCAGGTAAATAAGCAGCAACAGGATGATCGTTCCAGCGCAAGCAGAGAGAACCACAACCCACAGAGGAATGAAATCCGGCGCAGATGGTGTCGTGCTCGGTTCGACGTTCGTTTTAATTTCACGACTTTTGATCACCTGTTCGGCAGGTGCACCGATGAACGGCTGCTTAGTGACACGTGCCACCAGCTTGGTGGAGACCTTCACCTTCTCCTGCGTGGCCACTTTCTTCAAGGTCCTTGCGTCTACCCTATACCTAGCACCGATCCAGACTTCCTGGTCCTTTTTCATTGGACCCACGACGCACCTTAACATGACACACTTCGAGGTATCGCATGGACTGACGGGTCCATGGGTCCTGGGATCATTTTCATCCTCATCGTTCTCATCGAATTCACTCTCCTCCGCTATAAGATCCTTCTCCAAGTCTCTGGTACGTCTATGTAGCCTCTGCAACCTCTTAAACTCTTCCACTTCCATCATATCGCTTTCACGCTTGAATCTGCTACCAGCGTTCGAGCTCTGCGTATTAGTCTCATCGAATGTCTCGCGATTGTCTCTTCCATGAATCCTGCTGGTTACTCGTCTGTCCTCTGTTCTCTTCTCTTCATGAGTACTCGTGTATCTCGCCTCATAATCGACGTCTCCAGTCTGCTCGGAATCCTCGTTCCAGGACCTGCTGTAGCCCCTCGACTCATAATCACTGGAACCTCTGTTCTGAAGTCCTTCGCGAGGATCGCCTGAGGTGTAGGTACGTTCTTCGGTGTAAGTGAAGGAACCTTGCAGAGGGAACCTGCGACTGTCTTTCAAAACGATGAAGCCTTTCCCATGTGAGTCAACCAACAGCTCGCCCTCCATTCTTAAGAACCGACTTTCCCGAGGTTCGGTAGATTCGGATACGTAACTAGTGTCCCCGTACCGATCCTGAAGAGGGAACATGGAACCATCCTGGAACTCAATGTATTCTTTCCTATCGGCGGAAGTCCTGAACCTGGCCGTGAACTGGACATAATTCCTGCCCTGTCTGTTGTATAACGCGTAACTAGACGACTTCGATAAAGACCCGAACAAGGACTCCAATTCCTGTGTAGAGCTGATGTTACGCAGCTGGAATCCGAACTCGCCACCTCGAACGGTTTCCTCTCGATCGCCGGTGATTAATCCGCCTTCCGTACCTGCGGAAATGCCGTATCGCCTTTCCTGCTTCAGTTTGTACTCCTCTTCCGTCAATCGTCGTCGCTCTTCCTCGCGTCTTCGGATCTCTTCCTCTTTCAAACTTCTTCGCGCTTCCTCCTCTTCCTGCTGTCTCCTTCGCTCTTCTTCTTGCCTTCTTCGCTCTTCTTCCTCTTGCTCTCTCCGCTTCTCTTCCTGCTTTCTCTGGTAGACCAAACGTTCCCAATCCTCTCGCTGTTGCTTCATAGCGATACGTTCCTCTTCCTCTTTCCACAGTTGCGATCGGTGTTCCTGCTGCCCTTTATTTTGCTTCTCTTGCTCCAGACGACGCTGTTCCATCTGCCGCCTCAACGATTCCTGGTACTCCTCGCTTTGGATCAGATCGGGATTGAGTGAGCCGGAAACAGCGCGGCCTCCAGAGGCGCTCGTCTCACCCCAGCGAGTTTCAATCGTCTCCGAGTGATTTATTCTACTCCCGTGGTGTGTTTCCAGGTTGGGAACCCTAGAGTCCAAACTGGCGTCGTCGGTGTTGCGGAAACCACCGCCCAGAGTACCGGACTCCGCGTAACCACCGGATTCTGTGTGGAAGACCATGCCCCTGTTGCCACCGGATAGATTGCCACTGCTGATGGAACTAGTGCCAGAGTTGTTTTGAGTGTACGTCTGCACCAAGACGTCCGGCTTCTCTCCGGTCGTTGATAATTGTATCCTCCTAGTTTCGCTGGCAACAACGTTCGACGAAGACGAGGACGAGTGACGAGTTTTCTGGATACTCGAACTGTCTCCGCTGTTGATGTCGGCTTCTTCTGTTTGGTTCATTCTGTTGCTTTGCGCATCGAATCCTCTTTGGACGTTTATAGTTCTGCCTGACTGCGATTCGTCCAAGATCACGCCTGAAGGATCTGCATGCTGCGAGTAGAATCTTTTGCGTTGGTCCAACTGGAAATGATTTTTTATTATTAACATCAATTACCTGCTAAAGAAATCAATCTTTGTACTTATTAAGAATACCCTTCAAATCTAGTATTTTTTTAACTATTCGTCTCACTTGTTTAATATTTACCCCTAATTATTCTGCCAACGTTTCTCGCCACGGTCTCGTGGACCACTACTCACCTTCAAGCTAAGATAATTCGCGTTCGCGCTCTCGCAGGCGATAGGTCCCGAGGTTTCCGGCTGTTCCAGCAGGTACAGTAGCTCATTTCCGGCCAGCGTTTGCGCGGGCCAAATGAGGAACACTTCCGCCTCGATAACATCCGACGGGCCAAGGTTACGAATAGTGTAATTGTGCGTCATGGCTGGACCAAACTCCATTTCCGTGGTCGCGTTCGTTTCGCTGGTGTAATTGCCAGGATCGTAATATAGCTCCTTCGGTTTGCTCTCACCGTCCACCCGCAGATCGGTCTCGATCCAGATAGGCAACCTCAATGTGTACACGTTGTCCTCGACTGTCATTGGATTCTCTGGATTGGTAGTGTTCACGTCCATCTCGAATTCATAGATAGGCTTCATTCCATGGGAAGTGACAGGTTGCAGCAGAACCTTGAACTTCACCAATCCATTCTTCTGCAGTGGATTGCCAATGTCGCAGCGAAGCGTATTGTTGTTCGATTGTTTCGGCGCTGAACACTGCACAGGCACCCCCATTGTCTCGATCTTCTCTACCTTTATGTAATCTATTCCAGTTGGCAGTTTCAGATTGTACGTCGATTCGAACGCGTCTTCGCCCATGTTCTGCACCAGGACATCCAGTTCCAGACGTTTCCCAGATCCCAGAAGATACTTGAGAACGTTGGACGACACGTTCATCTGAAGATCCGGTATGCACACATTGTCAGGACCACAATTCTTCCTGATGGATAGAGAATCTTTCCTGGATGTCGTCGATCCGAGGACAGGGCGCAGAGGAAGTCGTGGGTCGCGTTGTCTGATATCACCGATACGTTCTTCGTCAAGGCTCATTCGCATCTCGGCATCTAGTGATGTCAACTTGTCACGAATGTTTGGTGCTACGTACACCTGTGGATAACGCGGATGGTTTTAGTATAGAAATGACATGGAACCACTGAGCACTTAAACTGACTTTTGAAAATTTCATTATAAAAACTACAAACGTGGATTTATTAAGATTCGAATTGGTTTAAATTTCGGCTTAGGTATCACTTAATCAGTTTCTTGAGTAATTTCTCGAAGTAGTCCTACCTCTTCAGTAATTGAAAAAGAAAAAATTAAGGAATGTGTTATTTTGACCCTTTTGGTAGTTCTAGTGTTAATATACATTGATACTGAACACTAGAACTACGGAATGACTCAAAATGACTAATTCCTGACGCCTACTTGTGCTATTATCAAACAGGTAACAGATCCTTCTCTGAGGAACTGTTAACAAAGTTGATTGAATAACGCACGAATTGCAGATCGATAGAAATCTGAATAGTCACACTCTTCAAGTCCCTACACAGAACTTTAAAAAATTTAATTTGACTCTTCAGTAGTCCCAGTGTTAAGGGTTTGTATTCAAAGCACTGATTAATCTCCACTACAATAATATTTCATTTGTATCAACAGATATTCCTGATAAATCGAGCAGGCTTTAAAAAGGTACTGCTTCGTAAAAATCAATTCAAGACCGTCGTCAATAGCGTCCATAATCTAACGATCATACGTCCCCCGGCCCTAAGTGTTCTGTTATCCAAACTGACGTCCATCCCGAAACATGAATACAGAAATATTCAAATCACCAGCATATCTATACTAACCTGAACCGTGCGACAGAACTGACGATCCCGATCTACCGTGATCGTTCGGTTCATCATGTTCCTGCCTTCCAGTTCCAAGAAGAATAGCCTAGGATTCTTCGTCTTCTTCACGTCCAGGACGTACTGAATATTGAAAGTGTGGCTGGTCAACACTCCCTCGCCGCTATACTTGAAGCAAGCCCTCAAAGGGAAGCAGGTGACCCTGCTGCTATCCGATAGCCTGCAGTTCTTGTCGTCCAACGAGATCAATTTCGATTCCTGATCGAACGTCACGTACGAATCCATTTTGATGACCGGACGAGATCTGAAGAACACCGCTGTGCTCGACTCATAGGCACCGACTATCAGATCGGGGTAATGGTTCCCGTCGAGGTCGAGGCCACCGGACACGGAAAATCCGAAAGTCTTCAAATGCGCAGGCAGCTTCAGCTCTTCGGCGTAGATCACTTGCGAATACTTTTCTAAGACACCAGTCGCGGATCCATGGTAGATGTAGACAGCACCGCTGTCGGTATGAAGACCACCGTAAGGAGCACCCACGGCGAAGTCGCCGTAACCGTCACGGTCAATATCACCCAGTGAAGACAGCGACAAACCGAATCGTCCACGGTTGCTCTCCCCATCTCTGGATAACGACAAGCAATTATCGGCATAGTTCAATAGTTCCGAGTGCTGTACTGAGGCATTTGTTATTACATTTTTTATTTTAGAACTTTTTCAGGTTTATTCTTTTATTTTTGCATTAGAGAAGTGTGGAGTTTATAATTTTTAAAACTGTACTAGGCATTTCTTATTAAATTCTTTATTTGAGAACTTTTTAAAGTTTATTCCTTTATTTTTGGGTTTGGCAAGTATAGAGTTTATAATTTTGAAAATTGTGTTGACTGTATAATATACAATTAAAAATAATATAAAGAAAATTCATTTATTTTTGTATGTTATCTAATTTTGTAGTGCAAATTGAGTAGCCTAGCTTTACTTTTTTATGATGTTTTTTAATACAAGTGTGTAAATCATTTTTTATTCTGAGTTACTGATAATTGCGAAATACCTGGAATCAACTTTGCGGAATTTTTCAGGTCCGGCGCCTTGGTAGATCACGTACACCCTTCCGGTCTCGATGGTCATTTCCGGGTTATCTGGCACGGTGTACATAGGCGCGCCGACTATAAGATCGTCTAACCCATCGCCGTCGATATCACCGGAAGCCACCGCATAACCGAAGTAAGCTCCCATTTGTTCGCCACTAATGTTACGAGGATTCGTCATGTTCGAAGTGAAAAGGATCACCTGCGACCAGACATTATTATCAATCAACAACTTTCAACTTTCCCCAAACTTCACAAAAATCTCGAACACCTTAACATTAACCCTTCGCACTCGAGAGGTGACTCTCAGTCACCATTTCATTTGATGTAACAAAATTACAAAGTGTCATCCATAATATTAAGCTCTTATATAATGCATCAATATCTGAAATATTTCTATAAAATAGCTTCGTTCCTTAATTGACGTATGTTTCCTCATTAGTTCGTTTCAAATAGCGTCGTCGATGTCTCATCGGAAAGTGACGAATGTTTCCAGTGGAAAGTTTCCGAATGCAAAGGGTTAACTTATGTTACATTCAAATAAATTACCTAAGGAATAGCCTATATCAAACCCTTACAACATTTATCGCAACTAAATCTTAAAAGACCCAACTTCCATAATCTACCTGGCGAACAGAAAAATCAATGAGAAATAATTCCATAAGTATATAGCAGCTTTAAATTCATGAAATCCCCCGCTGAACATGTTCAGGTCTAGGTATCCAACTTGTCGACATCGTTCTTAAATTGCTACCAAGGGATCGATATTGTGGAGCCGCAATCTTTTTTCCGAGGAAGCAATAAATTTGTTCGTGACGGGTTACTTTCACTAGAGGAATTAATTTCAATCGTTCGTTCTTTTCCTCGCGATTACGTGTTAATATTTCATGAGCATACTTTGCCGAGCAGATCGGAGCCACGAGGCACGCCGACAGCCGTGCCGCTGTCGCCATTTCCAATAAAGTCCCCGGTCGTGACGGAATAACCCATGTAGCTATCGTCCTCCTTCGCCGGACCTTCCTTGGTGAACATTATTCTCGAGCGGCTGTTCAACGGCTGTGAAAACACTTGGCCTGTAAAGCGAAAGACGGTTGAGAAAATCGGCGGAGCGGACAGCGACTTTCAACACATAGTTTTCCGAACACGTTTTCGTTGTTGACTACGATCAAAGGGTATTTCACAATCATCGGACAGGACTGCAACGACAAACACCAAACTCAGTTGCTGTATAGGTTGTGTGTGAAGTGTAATTCGTGTGGAATTGAAAACCTGAAGCATGGATATTAATGGAATTCATTGGAAAACAAATCATAAACGTGATATAAGAACTGATTGTTATATAAGTATTCAATTTTTTGTATTCTTGTGAACTAATTTTCGCGTTATTGAGTGAAATATATGTTACTAGTCGTGTTCTTCGTAATTGCAGAAAATTATATGCGATTTGGTATCTAAACGTTCAATTAGATATAATTCGTATTCGTTGTTGAGATACAATAAAAAATATGTTTACAATGTTTTGGATACATGAGTTCCAATAATCCATGCGGTTTATACTTGCAGTATAACAAAATGTAACATTACAATGCAAACTCCAATAAACAGGTTGTAATATATGAAATGTCCTCTTGAAGATTTACTTTTTGCAGATAAGAGTATTTTTTGAGATTTCTATAGGATAATGTATATAGAATAATGACCTCAGGCAAAGTGACTAATAATATTGAACAGGAAACAATAAACTAAAGTGGATTATTTTGTTTGAAAGTCGTACTAACAAACTACTCTTTGATTGGCAAGCGACAAGATGATAAATGGACCCTGCACGATAACCGATGACCAATGTCTCAAAAGCTAGACATTGATGAATCTTAGACCTATGCCGAAACTATGTTCGCACGCGAAAAATGTGACGGTGAATGGTGATCCACTGTCGACGTTATTTGCTTACCGCGATCTCTGATATGTTATCTGCCAGACGACTGAAACTTTGTCAATTTTAAAAGAAACTTCCAAAGGAAAGAAAGAAATTACTTTTGTCAATTAATATAAAACAGGTAAAATATCGTAATACAAAAATTGAATTAATACATCACAGCTTTGAAATTATATAAACAGACAACTATATTACAATGAATTTAAAGAGATTTAGTTTAATCATTACAACCTTCGAATTACCTAAACAGAGAGAATTAAAATTCACTTAAAAATACTTAATTCAATCATTACAATTTCAAATTACCCAAAGAGACAATTACATTAGAATTAATTTAAAAAGATTTACTTTAATCATTGCACTCTTCGAATCACCTAAACAAACAATCACACTAGACTTAAAAACAAACAGGACATTTCACGTGTTACAATCCAAGATAGCCAATCAAACCTCTAAGCAAAACGAAAACGACAATCGCAGTCAGAAAACGCGTGGAAAGTTCACACATGTAAATCGTAAGCCGTTTAACATTATGAATTAATCTAGCTTCTAAGCACAGTTCGTTTTAACGAACGACGACCGGAACATCGTCCGTGTCGTCAAGGCGTACTGTCAACTAAATAGCAGCAGTCAAACGGACTCCGGAGTCCATTAGAGGCATTAAGTAGCTGTGCCTCGCGTTACGCTGCCGCGCGAAGCTGTAGAAAGCGGGCCTGCACCTGTTAAATAATGGCCACCCTCGACTCACCTGGCGGTAATTAATAAGTACTAATGTCACACGGTGCATTAATCGTCAATCGGATATTAATCACTGACGGGGGAGGGGCGGAGAGACGCGGCGGCCCTCGAACTGCCGAGCGCGCAATCGCAGCCACGAGGAAGGAATGAAGCGTCCATTTTCGTGTGCGTGACAATCTCGGGCCAGGCAGTTCGCCGTGGTTTAAACCGAATATTATTAATCACAGGCGTCGTGTTAATCGCGGTGAAACAGGTGGTAGAAGCCGGATGACCGAGTAATTAATGGAAATTAATTGGGGCCACTGCCAAGCAAGTGTAAACGCACGATTGCGAATACTGGTGTCTTTTTCAACTGGTTCTGAACAGCATCGACGCTGACCGATGTCCTCCAGGGAACATTAAACCGTTATTCCTCGTTAAAAACTGATTCTGTATTTCACATTTCGCGTTGCATCGTTTTGTGTATTATCTAGACTGCAAGTGATTGTCTGAATTTATGTATCTGTGAATTTAATATTAGAACTATTGGACGGATCAAAATGGCCCATTCCTGATTTCATTATCTCCAGTTATTGAATAAATAACACATGCTCCTCTAAGAAATTACTAGGGAAATTGATTTAGCAATACGCAAACTAAATTGCAAATTGAAGTCTGAATAGTTGCACTATTGGGGTTTGTACAGAGAAATTTCGAAAAGGCAATTTCACTGCTCGGTAGTTCTAGTGTCAATTGCTAAAATGGAAATTAGATAGTACGTTGATTATGTTTTGAAAGACTTTTTACAACAGAATGCTTAAAATTCTATTGTATGTTTTTATCAATTATATAGCAATCTATTAGTTATATTTTGAGAGATTTCCCAGAACAAAAGAGTTAATATTGTATTATCTTTTTGATTTATCTTTTTATACACAATACTTTCTTTCATCTGGAATCTAAAAAGAATTTAAGATTTCTAATTTATTCTGAATAATTGATCTATTAATACTTCCGAGCGTAAGTGTGAACATTTCTAAATCAGTTTTCTGCGAGGTCTTTAGATTAGCGTCCCCCAGAACATCAGGTCTAATGAACGCCGTCGGAAAAATTGTATTTTGAGCATCAAGCGACATTTGTTAACAGTTTGGCAGCTGATTAGAGGTTTAAGGGGGCTGGTTTAAAACGACAGCGTCCACTGTCGTCGTTTGATTAGGAACGCCTCCAAATACGCGGTACCTGATGCCTCTGCTTCGGGGGTGAACAACATCGTCTCTACGAACTTCAACCTCATAGCGGTGCTGATCGAGTATATCTGACCTGTAATTGTTTAACGTTTCCTAAAGATCACTCTAAAATAATCCGCAGAGCCCGGGTGGTCGCGTCGTACCGGATGGTTTTTCCGTTCTTTCCCAGGCGTTATCAAAGCTATCGTCTCTTCATTAGTAAAGAAAGTGACTTTACGTTGTCTGATTAGTGAAGGCCAATAGAACCGAGGTAAATCGATCGAGATTTAAAGTAAGCCGATTATTCTGGGCAGAATTTAGAAACCCTCTCGAATTGTAATTTTGATTATTCAGCGCGGAATTTGAATTAGCGTTAACCCTTGGACCTAATAGATCAGCAATAGTGGCTTTAGACTGTGATCGTTGGAATCCAATTAATAAGTGGCTGTACATTTTCGTAAGATTTATCGTATAAGTGAATAATTTCATTGTATCGTCGGTTTCAGACGATTTTTATCGGATAATATTAGGAGGACAGGGAAGAAATTGATTATTTTTAGTTTCAATAGATAGTTTCATTATTTTATATAAATTTTTGAATACTGATTTAAGGTATGATTCTCTGTTTCCTTTTGGGCAGTTTCTCGTCTAATGATATATTCTTCAAATGTACTTTTTGGATTAATATTTAAAAATGTATATTAAATAGTAAAGCTTTCTTTTGAGATTAAAAGTAATAAATTTCTTGCTGGTCCTCCTAATAGTTGCTTAAATCGATCTCTGGGGACGACGATTCGAGAAAGAAGCTTACCTTGCCAGTACCAACTTCCTGGCGCCCCGATGAAGAGTCTCTCACCGTTCTGAAACAAATAGAAAGGTATGCCATTAGGGGGATCAGTCGATGTCAAGTGACGAACGGTGCGAAGCACTTTAGTTGATCGCCCTTATCAGGGAAATTTATTTAACTTCCTTTTGATACTTACAATTAGTGACTTACTTATTCGAGAGGTAGATAATTCTCTACACTTCTTTAGAAGAAATAAAACTGTCTACGTAAATCACTTAAAGTGCTATGCATATCGGTATGTTAATATTAGCTGATTGAAGAAATCAATGAAACTTTTTAAATTTCAGTCGAATTACGAAATGGTCAGAACGTATTTGTTTACTAAAATGATTAATAATCTCAGCTTGCAGAAGAATTTAATAGTTTCTTTGATTAGAATTATTTAATTGAATTAACTAAGGTTATTAAGTTCTATCAAAATGAGAAAAATCAAGGAGTTTACGATTATACTCATAATCATATGTAATAAAAAATGTACACAATTATTCAAAAGAGAATTCTTTTATTAGGAATAAATTATACTGTTCTATAAAAGTTCATTTAAATCATAATACATACATTTCATCACCAGAATCAGAATGAAAGGAAAAATAAGTTCCTTCATTGAGAAATGTAAAAATAAAGTTAGAATTTCATCGATCCTTATTAAAATATTTCTGTTATCGTGTTTCAGTCGTTCGTGTCTGTCACGAATGCAAGAGATGTGCATTCTAGCAGTAACTTATAACATGATTAACATTGTTCTCGTGCGTTTGCGCTCGGCTGTCGTAAGTAGTATAAGCCTGCGTGCGTCGGACGAGTAAAACCTGCGTGAAAGTTCCATGTTCCGTGCATGGGAACAGTCGATAGGAAGGTTCAGCCGCGATAGGTATGTCGATGATTTCGAGTGGCACTCGAGCAGCTCAATGCACCGATTAAGTATGGCAGAGTATCGAAGACCGTGTGTAAACGTGGCTCAAGTGTGGAGTTTTATCACCGACCGCGATGTTACGACAGGTTTCTCGAGTTGATCCAAGTTTGCCGCTTGAAATTTAGTAGTTTTTAATCACACCTATTTACCGATTATGCTTAAAATAACGCCTGCATTTCCCATATGACGCACGCCTCGTCATGTTCTATTTTAAATAATAAGCTTTACAGATATACATTCGTTACGATCAATTTAAACGACTTAGAATTGACGAAGCATTTCTTTGTACTTTATTATGTGTTCTGGCAGTTTCTAAAAATATCAAAACGCTAAATTTTCATTAACATTTTCTACAACAGTTAACACATTGAATGTCGCATGATGATGAGACAAATATAGAAAATGAAAATAATGTAATGTCAACTTATGTGATTGAATTACGTTGTTATTATTGCAGGTTTGAATTGTCGAATGTGCATTAAGTGGTATTACTTATAATATAGAAATGTTTTCAAATAATCATCGTTTAATCGAATCAGTGACCCTCATGGTATCCATGGCATATTAATGTATAGTATTCGTATTACTAATAGAGTTATTTTTTATTAGCTTATTGAAATGATGATTAATATTAGTTTAAATGATCTAAAAAACACGTCCCCACATTTGGATCACAGCTTACTCTAGTTTAGTTTGAGAATTGTACACTGTTATAATAATTCAAGTCAGACACGGCTGAAGAGTACTCTTAAGAACGTTCGTAACGAAATTCTTTGGAAGAATTTTCTACAAGTTATAAGGCAGATAGATTATCTTCTGTTGATAAAGTGACTTTTTCGCAAACACAAAGAGATCGTACCAAGAAGCCCCTATCACGAGACCCACCGCAAAAGAGTGTTTAACATGCGTGACGCAGTTGTGTCTACGGTGCACGCACGAGCGTATAAATTTACAGCTAGCGTACGTACTGCAGCCCGATTTATCGTATCGCTAGCTTGTGCACAAGCCGTCCCCTATCTTCGCCATTATCTTGCGAATTATAGAAAAATTTTCGTGGGTGGGTCCGTTTCCTTGCTGACGCCCGCGGCTACTAAAAATTCATATCGAACTCGTTGGTTCGCTTCAGTGGATTGTACAATATTATTTCAACACAACTAACAGTACGTTACAATAAAACAAACATTTATTCAATTAACAAGATGAGAAAAAATATATTATTCAAATAAAATTGCATTCTCCGAATAATAAACACAAATGCATTATATACCAAACAAATGAAACAACGTGATACCACGAAACAATTAACATACGATACTAATAAATTAAACAAGTATAATATATTATACATCAACTAATTGCTCAAATACATTATTCAAACAAGAATTTATTATCACTCGATTACCTTAGATAAATATTCATTAAAAATGAATTTCGCTTGAAATTTCATGTGCATTGTTAATACAATATTATTAATCCGATGTATTAACACGTATCCAACACGAGTATCCAAAGTGAAGTGTCCGAAGCCTTTTATTTAAGGAAATCGTCGATTGCCTTTTTCTCGTTTCGGCCGCCATAAACGGCCTCGTTAACAACCGAGCATCAATCAAAGTAACAATTATCCCGTATTACCTCGTGTACATCATTAAATTATTAGCGTCGCTTATTGAAAGTTAATATTCCACCGAGGGCCCCGGCGACGGAGGCAGGCCTCGTTAGCGGCGTATTTACCGAGGTCGAAAGCTTGTAAAGCCGGCTAGCCGGCACGCAATGCGTTTACGTTTTACACGGTGTAACGGTAAGCCTCCCACATCCTTATCTAACGGCGGCGGAGCAGTAGTAAAGATTGTGTCCCGCGTACATATTAATCAACGGTCTACGTGAATGATCGTAAGAAGCTGAACGCTCGAAGAGGCACGATCCACGATAATGTCATGCAATATGAATGAGATCGACAAGGCCGGGATCGAGGCAGGAAAACGACTTTTTTCGCGATTACAATTTCGAGATCGCTCGCTCGATAATGCACTGGGAAAATGCACTTTGTGATGGGTTTTTATAAGGAACTTTTTATCGCCACTTTCTGCAACGTGAGACTCCAGTGAAATTGGGATCTTATTATTTTTACGATCCGTGTGAAGGATTGTTTCTAATAAATAATGAACCTTATTAATCTGAATTCAATGAAGATTGTAACGGTACATTTAATAGTAGAACCGAGCGTTTAATATGATTAATAAGTAATCAACAAAATTCTAATAATTTCAGTTTCTTTGTGCATTTGACATAGTATGCTGCCGAAACTATTTACCTCTAAGATCCTTTCTCGCATTTAATATTTTTCAAATATCACTAACTGCGAAATAAGAACACTGAAACCCGCCATTTTGACGGATCCGGTAGTCACAGCGCTCAATATCAATGTTTAAAGTTTTAATAATTTCTAAATTCAAACTCATCCAAAACCTTCATCAAACGTAAAAATTTAAAACATATTCAGTCGCACGCATCGATGTTTACAATAAATGCATCGAATTTTCCCATAGAAACATCACTGCGAAATCCCTAGTTAACTTAATCACGGTCCAGCCCCTGACGCACCGTGAATCACGATGACCCGCGCAGCGAGGGACTGGTTGAAGGCGGTTCCAGGAATCCGTCGAAAAAACCAGAACAAGGGGGAAGGAGCCGGCAACGATGCGTCTCGGGGGTAGTGAATTCTCGGCGTGCATGCTGCAGCGAAAAATCGGTGAAACACTAGACCCGAGTACGAATCCCTAGTTAGTCCCAGTATCTCGTATAGAATCACGCGTCCGCGACCTTTCGCGGTGCCGGCCGCGTTGACCCCTGCCGCAGGGGTCGCCACCATTCAAGGCCCCGCTTAAATATCGCCGGGATCAAAGTGTTAATCGCGGGACAATGTCGGCGCGTAGGTGCACCTCGCCGATGCAGTCCAACGCCCACGCGGTCGCATAGAGAATAAAGGACGGGGATTCCGGGGATCGAACGGGGAACGGAACGAGATGCACGGAAACGCGGCGAGCGCGTGACGGGGAGGACGGCAGAGTTACCGTCGCGCACGAGATGATTGGTGGTTCAATGCGCCAGAGGACCTCGTTGAGATGCAACCGGCAATGGAAGCGGAGATCTTCTAAATTATTTAATGACGGCCATTCGAATGTACCGGCGCGCATGCGGAATTACGATGCTAGAGAATGTATAGGATCGGGGGGTGAAAGTGCTACTAATTCGATTGTTAAACAGACTGTTACTGTGACTGTATACTTTGATAGGAATTTAGCTGAGTTGAACTTGTTAACGGCATTGAGATTTGTTCGGAGTTGTTTTGATCGAGGCATTGCATTTTTAGTTAATGGCAACAGTGATTTGAAAGAAAAGGGATATGATACCTAACTGGGCTAAAAGCTAAATTTAGTATAGAAATTCTTGTGAAATTTGTAGCATATTCAAGAGCCTAAATAAAAGTCATAATAGAAATAATATAAAGCATCAGTGTATGAATTAGAAAATTAGAAAATGGTGGTAGAACGAAGTGATGAATCATCATCCAAACCATATTGCTCCCCAGCAAACTCAAATGAACAAGCTCCTACGACAGTGTTAAGAGAAATGAAATATAAACTCAAGGGAATGATCAAACAACAAAGAAAGGAGACCACAGCGATATAGTTTACAAAGATGAAGAAGTTCGGAGCAACCAGGAAAGAATCTCGAAGCGGGACAAGCGGACAGCGAAAGCGGAAAGGGCGAGACGCGAAAATGTGACGGCACCGGTCGGATTCCCTGGTTCCGTTCCGGCGAAAGGTCCGTGTCTAGTTTCGTTTTACTCTGCTTATCATGAGAAATGGCGGCCATTTATAAAACAATGCGACCGCTAAGGGAGGAGGACCACCGGCGCGTAGGTGGCCTCCTCGCAACGCTGCTCGACGCTGAACACGGAACACGGTGACAGAACGAAATGTTCGTGCCTTAAATGGCCACCTGAGACTCTCCTGCCGTTGCTGTTGCTGTTGCTGTTCGCCGCTGCCGTGTCGCGAGTGCCCTTTTTCCCTCTCCACCCGGGACTATCTCTTTCCGCGGCG